ACAATATTCAAGAGAAAGAGCATAGTGCATATGGACTGCCACTGCAAACTGAATTTATCTTTATTAAGTAGATTTCTGACAGGGATGTCCAGATCTCAACTAAAGAGTATGTTGATTCAAAAATGCAAGTGAGTGAATTTCTTAGATTTCCATTCCAGTCCATAAATATTCTTATCCCATTTCTCAGTTAATGTAGTCAAAATGTGTACGTCAAAGCTATGAGAAAAATCTTGCCCTCAAAGTTTCATTGAAATCAGAGTCCAGAAGAAAGAAATAATTTACTGTGTTTTGTCCTTTACATATGTGAATGTCTTTCTAAATCCAGACTTTCTCTGATTAGTCTTTCAACAAGAACTTCATATACAGCAGAATTTCAGAGTTGCAGTCAAGTGCCTCTTTCCCTTTTCTAGTCTGAGTTAAAAAAAAATAAAAATATTCTTTTGCATGTTTTTCTCTTTTATCTAGCAGAATTGTCCTGTTACCTGCTTAACAGTAGAGTGCACAATATTGCTTCAGCATAAAGTATATGCTTTAGAAGGATTTGTTATGAAGGCATACCCAAATAGTTTGAATGCTACAGTCTGATTTTAGCAGCTCCTTCTACTCACAGGCTTGAAGTTAGGAAGCGTGTGCCTTATTTGGTAGACCGTATGTTTAATGAGTGAGTTTGATCTCTTGATTTGAAGAGTAATGTTCCAGCTTATGAACATCATGTGACTCATGAGCTGTTCCATGCTTTTTTTTCCTCTGAGTTTGACTACCAGCAAGCACATTTTTGAAGTCTCCTTGCACTGTCAGACCTCTCCTGGAGAATGCTGTGCACATTGTAGCACTCACTGAATGCTCAGATATGTACTTCTCCAACTGAAGTGGTACTGTGATGTTGGCCAAGGTTGGCTACAGCGTTTTCCTCTGCGTACTCTTTGACTCACTTGAAGATCTATGAAAATGATTCATACTAACCATGAACTAGGAGATATTGTTGTTAATGCGCATCCCACAGTGTGGTTGCTTAGCACAAGCAGATTTGGATGACTAGAGCATTCCTTCATGCATCTACATCTATTGTGATATTGTGTTATGTATAGATGCCAAAAAGCAGGCACCAAATCCTTATTCTATTGTCATGTATATGGTAACTTATACCATATACATGACAATTCTTACCCATGCAACACACTTTACATCACTATATCCAAAATACAGTCTGTGAATGTCATTGTGCTGCTAGAAATTTATACTTGTAGTACTTTGATTAAAAAGCTGCAAACTTTGTCTCTTAAAATATTGAAAACATTAATGCATTTTCTGGGAAAGCAAGTGAAATTGTTTGCATGAGATGAATATACATCAGGAGATGGTACAGTTGTATCTGTTCTGGTATTCTGTAATGAGAAAGCATGTGGCATGTTTTATGGTAGCTAAGTGGAAAGGCAAATATGTAAAGAAAAAAAAACCTGTTTCTTAAAGAAACAGTGGACAACAGAGAAAGCATTATATAGGAATTAAATCATGGCCAGAGTGTGGAAATATTCTTGTCTGGAAAGTTTTAAAATGTTGAGATCTTTTCTTTTTGTTTCTACCTTTCTTGCTTTACAATCTAAGTCAGATTCCAAGAACAAATTGTATCAAAAAAATTTCAAATTTACTCTGAAATGCACCAAATGATGAATGTTTGGGGTGGGGGCAGAGCAAAGGCTCAACTGGTTAGGTATTTGTTGCACATCTATCTTAAGATTAAGAATTCACAAGTAATGCAAAGATGATTAAATACTGCAATTTTAAGTTGTATGTGAGAATAGCTTGATTTTTCTGAAAGAATGATATGGAAAATCCAGCTGCTAGAAGCTTTGTGACATTATTCTGAAAAAGAGAGTTTGGAAAGAGAGAATACTTAATTAAAACAGAAATTAAGTGTGTAGGGATATTTAGTTATTCAGTTCCCTCTTAAGATTGGGAAGCATTTGGTTGTAGGAAATGAACAAATTTTTTTTTTTTTAGTTGAAATTTACTGGGACACCTGGTTGTCTTTTGCTTTTGTTATGAAACATATTATAATCAGAAGTTAATCTTTAAAAACACTGAATACATTTCAATTCAGTATTCCCATGTTCCATTCCCTTTCATCTTGAGTCTGAGCTTTGTGTGGTTTTGATAAAAGATGTCTTTATTAAAACTGGCCTTAGGTTCAATTATTTTATGGGCTGAATTTCAAGAATGTAGACTAATATTAGGACAACAGAATTTCTGACTACTGATTCTCATTGGAAATGTGTCACACCTTTCCAGGATTATGTTTAATTCAGTGCTGATGACAAGTTTATATCCTGACATTGTTTCTGTACCTCTCTTTCATTGTTGTCTTTTTTCAATTATTAAGAAATTCAGCTTTACATTTTCTACAACTACTAAAGACTAAGAGCCAAGAAAACTCTTTAAAATAAACATTAGAGTTTGTGTTAATGAAATGAGTGGTGCTTTAGACATACTGCTCTCCATTTTGTGTGGATTCTTACAGAGGTCTGCATGGGGGCATGGTATTTCTTCATGTTGTAAGCTATCATTACCTAACAATACATAAGCTAACCTTGGATGATCCAACTTGGGTATTAGAGGCAATCTTAGTTGCTTAGTAGTGCTTTCTTTCCACATTTTATTGATTTTTATTTTTTTTTCCCCTTTTTTTCCCCTTGTTACATGAAAGGATTCTTAATGCAAGTAGTGATGTAACTTATTGTATGCAAATTGATGTGACTTGGATTATTATTATTTTTTGAAAGGCAGTTGTTCCCCAACCACCACTTTTCCTTCCTTTCTCCCCTTTTTCTTTTAAGCCATCCTTATCAGTATTGTAATAAAAAGGAAGGTGAAACAAGACCCAGTCTTTCAAGTCTCTGGTAAGTTGAGGTACTAAAGGAGCTTAAAGTAAAGCTCAGTACTAATTCCAATTGTCTTAGCATTTAACGTGGTGCCTGTGTGCATGGGGTGATGCACAGCTGTGTTCCAGTCTTAGAGGCAACTACACTGTGGCAAGAAGAAAATAGGATAAGGGAAATTGAATGCACTATTTCTTGTGCCTGTTTACAGTCTTGACAAACACAACACATTGCCATTCTGACACTCAACACCTTTAAAATGTGAATAATCCAGTATAGTCCATTTGTCTCCCATTGTTTGAAACATCTCCTTTACAAGACGGTCATTTTAAGACTGTCAGGTCTGCTATCAGCTCAGCTGGCATTACTCATATCACTGAGTGCTGTTTCCTCTTCTCTGCTGCGCTCCAAACTATTTGGAGCCTCATGGCTGGCTAGTCAATGTTTATGAGGTTGGGAAAGCAAATTTGTAAGTAACTTAGTCTGCACATATTGAAAAGTCTACAGTAGAAATCATTTTAGGAAAAGGTAGCAATTGAAAGAAATTGTTTTGGCTGCTTAAGCAGATCTATATATCATGTAAAGAGATTCTTTTAAAATGACTCTACTCTGCCCTTTTCCCCCCTCTTTTTTTTTAAATGCATACACGGTTGTTTATGAACCTTGTTCCTTTTGCTGACTAAAAACTTTTTCAGAGCTGAAGGAGCATTAATGGTATTCAAGGATTCAGTTCTTTATTTTCAAAAAGCAATAATTTCTGCCTTCTTCACCACGCAATTCCTGTTACATTAGATACAAGGGCTGGAACAGACCTGGTTTATAGAGGTGCATTTCCCTTCAAAGCAAGCTGTCAGTTTGCAAATTCTTCGGAAGGCATCTAAGCTTCTAGTGAGCCACAGCTGTATTAAGACAGCTTAATAATTGCAAAAATACCACCTGAGCTAGAGGAGAAACTAATAACATCTGCCAGGATGGTCACCATCCCTGTATGACTTAATTTCAATTGGGTAAAAATCAGGGGAGGGAAAGGGGAAAACTTTTGGAAGTGAATTATGCACACAGCTAGATCTTTGGTTCCAGAGGAAAACATGTCCCATTCACGGCAGATCCTTTCCAATGGAAACAATACACAAAGACAGGACTGGGTCTTTGCCTTGAGACTAAGGAAACTGAATTGACACAATGAGATGATATAAATCCCTTTGCACACTGTCTTCAATTAATTTCCATGGTTAACTTGCATATCTACATCTCTATAAATGTTTGTCTACTTCACATTTTGCGAACTTTTACTTGTTTAACTCATGTTTTCATCTTATCTGAGTTAAAAGTGATTTTGAGGTAATGGGCAACCACAAATGGAAACGACCCCTTTGACAACAATTATTCTTTAAGCTGAGCTGCATGAACATTATTCCTGTTCTAGAGATTTCTTTATTGCATTCAAAATAACTGATAAAACAGGTATGATCATCCAGATCTACCTAGGAGATGGTAGCATGGAGGGCCTAAAGACTAAGAATGACAGCTATTCTCTTCTGTTGGCTTTGGTGATAAACTGGCAAGGAGATCACCTTCTAAATGAGAAAAGGTATCGATGAGGGAAGACAAGTCTGATTTTATTTATGTACATTGAGGAAAAAATCCTACCACAGTTTAGCTCTGGAAAAGGTTGCCTAGAAATGATGTGGGATTTGCAGTCCTGGGGAGTTTCCAAACCCAGCTGGAGAAGGCCCTGAGCAACCTGCTCTACCTTGGCAATTAACCCTGGTTTGAGCTTGGGTAGGTGAGGTGGTCCTAGGCAGCCTGAGTGAATCTGGGGTTCCTTGCATTGAACTGCTCTGTTTAGCAAATTTTCCCTGCCAGATATTCAGCAGTAGTAGTTCTGACGTGCAAAATTTCTTTACAAGCAAGAGTCTAAGGGGATCTCTAATTTATCTTACTGTATGGGAACCGTTAGGTCACAGCCTGAACCAGTGATTGAGCACCTGGTGAAGGAGTGTAGCCAGCCCTGGGAGCACAGGTGGAAGCAATTTGCCTGTGCCCCCTAACCTCATTTAAGGGCTGGCAGCTGCGAGGGCAGGTCTCTGCTTGGAGATGGTGTCCTCTGGAGAGTTTGGCGAGCTCTAATCCTCAGAAAGAGGTAAGCGCTTTTTTCTTTATTACTGGATTGTGAGTGCTACCTTTCTTGGTCTTAAAGGAACTGTATTTGCTGCTGCCCAACCTTACGCTTATCTTCTTTCAATTTCTCAACTGATTTCTGAAACAGTGCAAGTAAAGGGAAGCACGCGAGTTGTTGTAGCTTTCCAAATTTCCACAGAGGGAATAGCGTCTAAGTATTGCCTCTAAGGCTTAGATTTTCTTTAGATTAAGTAGGTGATGTTAAAGGAAACCATTCAGTGAATGGCATTGTTATGAGGCACTCCTGGCGTCACATTGCCCTTCCTTGCTTGTACACCATTGTGTAGTTGAATGCCAGCTTAATGTGCCTCTAACAGCATCTATCTATCTGCTGAACAAGGCACGTGCATGTTGCTTCAGGAGGACTGAAGTACAAAAACTGAGAGAGCAGGAAAAATCTCTAATGTAAGGAAACATATTTTTCAGTTCCTGCTGTTCTTTGTTATTACTCTTTTCCCGTCTATCCACTTACCCTGCTGCCCTAACTTTTGACACTTTTAATTTATCTGTTAGCTGTGATTAAGATCATGCTACATTCATGAGGAAAGACTCCGCTTGCCAGGAAGCTTTCCTGAGGTATTGCAGCTCTAGCAAGGGACTATATTGTGCTGTAGTCAAATATAAAATTTATTAAATACTCATTTAGAAAAAAATCTGCAAGTTTAATTCCTGTTGTATTTGTGATGCGTATATCCATTGTATGTAATTATATTTATGAGAAACATGATGTACAAAATCTTGCAGCACAGTGCAGCAGTGCAAATTTGATGAAGCTTCCTTTGTTATCGTGAACATCAACTTGCACTTTTTTTTAAAAAAAGCAAGCAATACAAATGTTTTATGAGACAACTAAGTTTTCCAGAGTCAATATTAGGAAAAAGATAATGGCATATATATATATAGATCTATCTATCTATATGTATATATATAGAAAGTGGGGCTGTAACAGGTCATGGGCTTGCTGAGGTTTTCACCAGTAGATGTATAGCAGGCGTTGTGGAAACATCCTTGCTCATAAGAATGTTTGGCTTCATTTCTATGGACTTTTCATTACAGTTTGTTCTGTTTTCATTTTTTTTTTTTTTTTTTTTTCCCCACTCAAGTTTGAAACTTCTATTTCAGCATCAAATAGAGTAAAAGGCTTTTGTTTCTTATGCTGGGGCTAGCTAGGTATGTCAGACTTTTGCCACGTACTATTTTTGTATTTGTAGAATTTAAGATAAAAATAGGTTAGATAACCATCACCCAGCCCACTAGACAGCTGCTAAAACATGTTAAATTCAGATGAGGCCAAAGCAATCTAGGAAAACAGCAGAGACCCTGCACTGTCAAATCAAAGCAAAACCAACTTCTATTATTCATAGCAAAAATAAACATCTGCTGGGTTTTATGGGACGAGCAGTGCTTTTAGAGTTGGCCATATACCGTTACACAGTGAGTGATCTATATCACTTTGTATGGAGAAAGTGGGATGAAAGTGAGTAGAGCTACCCCTGAACAAAATACTCTGGATTTAAGTGTGATAGCATGAACTGCACTGCTTTAACACAATAGACACTTGAGATGTTATGTTTTCAGTGCCAGGAAATGCCTCCTGCTAACGTCAGTTGGAGCTGATGAACAAGAAGCAAAAATAACTTGTGCTACTTATGTATATTTGAAATCCTTTAACTTGAAATTATAGCAGCGTTTCTGAGAATCGAGCTTTATGCCTGCTATGTAACACAATATAACCAAAATCATTATCCTAGTACTGATACTGCATTTTTCCACATTTTAAAAGCAGGACCATGCCTGACTCTTGCAGTTATACTGTGAGTTGGAAAGCAAGATAGTCTTATCGCTCATACTGCTATGTAACAGTCAAGAGATTTGACTCTCTTTTGAACAAAGAATTTGCTGAGAACTCAGCTGAGACTGGGGCTGCAGTCTACCCCAGGTGGCTCTAAGTGGCCCTTTAGCTGGTGGGGAACGTCAGCATTATGAAACCCGTGTGCTCTTGCCCTTAATCATGGTCTGCTCTCAGCGCCAGCACCTGCTGTGATTTTGTTATCTTACACTAAGGCAGGCAACTTGCACTCTTTTGCTATTTTTTCTGAAAATTGCATTTTGATGTAATATACAAGATTTTGTTCCAATATAGTTGTAGAAGCATAGTTCTTGAGATTATGTCCTACTTGTTATCTATTTACATCCACTGATTATGCCCTCAGGTACAATGCTTATCTGGTCTGGGGTGTTTCAACTACTTACAAAACTGTTGTTGAATTACAGCTGACAAAACCAAGTTTATCAGATCTTCTTGCAGGCCTTTTCAAGGTACTCTAATGTATTTTTTGTCATCTAGAGCATGCTCATGAGCTTGATTGCTAGATGTGTAGCTCTGCTGGATTCAGAATGCAAATGCCCTCATATGCTTTTTGTTATCTTTACCATCTTTTAGAATGGTAAATTCATTAAATGAGTGCTCTGTATCTAAATGTATCATGTACTATTTACCAACCACCAACTACAAAATTTTAGCAATACTTTTTGGCTAGATATTATATTGGATACTGAAAATGATTAAGGAGCTACTATTGATAGTGTTATGTATTTTTTTTAAACATTAAGCAGATTCTGAATTAAAGCATATTATGTACACAAAGCAAATCAAGCGAGCGTGAAATCTAGAGTTGCCTTCCATGTTGCTGTAGCTCTGTGTGGCTTTGCCCTCCTTTCCCATGTAATTTCCATGCTTTACAAACAGATGAAATTTGCTGTATACCCTGTACTGATCTGACTCATTTTTTCAGGAAAGGGTTTGAAAATAAATATTTCTATGATTTTAAGGAATCTCTTTACAACTATTTAGGTAAATTACTGTGTTCACACTGGCCTCCAAACTGGCAACATAAGTGCATAACAGCAGCACAAGTCATCTCCCCACATAGTGCTAATGGGTGTAGAGACTTAAAATTAAGCTAAATTCATTTTTTGGCTCTGTTGCCAAGAGGCACAAAAATGAAGTGGAAAATGTGGCAGTTAAATTAGGAAAGAGTAAGAGATGGTGCTTTTATCTAATGGAAGGATGTAGCACTGTATGAAGAGGAAGAGTTTGACAATGGGTATGAAGAAAAAAATAATGAGAGGAAATTATTAAGAGGAGAAATTTAGATTTTAATATCAGGGAACTTATCCAGACAGTGAAATCTCTTACAACCTGGGTTTGTCTCTCAAGGGAAGATGTTCAAACTTGATTGCTTTGGGCATTTTTAAGTAAGTCTTGTCAAATTGTGTGGAAAAAGTGCAGAGAACAATAACAAACTTGCAGAGGAGTACACTAGGTGATGTGCTAAGCTTTGCCACCTCTTATTTTTGATTCTTTTGTGGCAGCATGAGTGACACCAATTACAGGGGCAATTTTTGCTGAGAGGAGACCCGTTTTCTAAGAGCTCAGCTGTATTATTGCCTTGGTCTGAGCTGCAGACTTCAAGAATGGAAGTTCAGAATGAAAAAACTAATGCTGTATTTGGGTGATATCTTGTATGTCAAAGCTTCTCTTAGGTGACCACATAAAGTGGTCAGAGAGAAATGTTCATTGGGCTGGGAAAATGGAAATTAGTTGGACTGTGAGGACCCAGAGATATGTTCTGCTTGCCTATAAAATGAGAGGTTGCTTCTGGGAGCCTGGGGAAGGATGTCTCCATGTGCCCTGAGTCTGTTCACACGCATTATTTTACAGCTTTCCCCTCACAGTAGGCAACATCAGAGTGAGAAGGCAATAAATTACAGTCATTCCAGAAAAGATCACTTTTCCTCTCTGTGGAACTGTTAACTGAAATTAATAAAGAAAAGTTTAAAGTTTAATTATGCCCTTCTCCTCCACCCAGAGGAGGCACTCAGGAAACAAACAGGCTGTAAACACAGAAGAAAGTAAGCTGTGAAAATTGCTTGTATTCTCATTAGTTGCCGTGCAGATTTTGTATAGTCACATTTAAATTCTGTTGACTAAAATACAATATGAACTCATTTGTGTCAGGTGCAGGCACATAGGTATGTCAGAGAACAGATACTAAAAACATTGCAACTTCTTGTGGAAGGGAACAAATCATCGAAGAAAGAAGTCCAAGAGTGCAGACTCCAGACAGAGAGGAAAAGATTGCTTCTTCCAGGAAGCAAGTCCCCTGGGACTGCAGTAACCAGCAGCCCTGTCCTTAGTGGCTATGCGGCCGGAGTTCAGATGTTTTTAATGTTGTCTGTCTGTCTGAAAGTCTGTTTCTTCTACTTGCTTGCTAACAAGGTGTGAATATTTGATTAAAAACAAGTATGAAAACTGGGGAAAAAGAAAAGGAAGTTAAGCCTATGTGTGAAAGACTGTGCTGTGCTGAGGGTGGGGTGAAACTCTGCCTGCCCGATCTGCAGATGTAAGAGGCAAAGAAAAACTTACCTGCGCTTGCTGTTCTGTTTTTGTGCATGGGGCATTGTGCTTGTGCCCCGGCCCTTATTTCACCGTTAAGTGTCTCTGTTTTGGGTCAGTGGTCCGTAGGGCTCACTGGAGGAGCATTGCCTCCTGCTACCGGTTGTAGAAGGGACAGGCTGTGACTTGTCCTTGTAGCCTGTGAGTTTGTACTTAATGGCTACCCTTTAAGCAGAACTGAAAATACTTCAGTCTTTTATAGTGCTATGGATTTGCCCATCATCCATCGCTCTGATTGCTGCCATCTGTTTAGTAGATTCATTTGTGGTCTCTGTTTCTACAGTTACCATGAAAGGTCTCTAGATCAGGGACTGTAACATTATAGTGTTAGTAAAGTATCCAGCATGGTAGGTGTCCAGTTCCATTTTGAGACCAAGGGGGAGTATTACACTTCCAGTTATGTCTTTTGTTGTTATCCATTGTAAATCAAATCCTATTTCCTTTTTTCCGTAATGGTGTTCTCATTGTCTTGAATGGGAGGTTTATTTATTCATGCCAGAATA